GATTTAAATTATATTCTGCTTACATTAGCATGCATTACAGTATTTTTATTGAAATGCATGTTACTATCACATTTTACAAAATGTATGTGAGACAAAAGTGAAAGTTTCATTTACATAACTTTCATCATTGATAAATTCGAAAAAAAAATTGATAAAATTGATACTACTGTTTTTCTTACTTTTACTTTCAAATTTATGCTAAATAATGCAAATATCATTTTGTTCATTTATTCAGTTTTTTTTTTGTTGTTGTTTAGGTTATATAAACTTAATTAAATTTTCATTTATCATCGATGTAGTATTTTTATTGTTTATTTTGCTTATCGCTGTAGGTGAAAAAAAAATCTCCTATATATGTCATAGATCTTTTAGCTACTATTATACACTCTTGTTATTATTTACTTTCACCAACTGCTACGGGTAAGAAATCCTCTTAATAATATTTATTGAATGTAAAATAAGGCTAAAGTAGTAAGTCAATAAATTCAAGGTCAATGATCTTTTCTATCAAGCAATAGTATCATTGTTAAGATGCCGGAAAACCGGAAACGATTGTGAAATCATGTCCTATTTGTTAAAATTTCGTCAATTTTGCGATAAATTCCGATAAGTAAAATATTTCTATAATTAAAATGAAGATGATTTTATCTTAATATAAACAAAACTGCTCCAATTAATTCAAAATTGGCAATTAAACTTGAAATGAACAATTCTTGCAAATGGTGTGGGATGATTTACTGTTCTTTTGTCTTTTTCTGTCACTTCAGTTCAATTGTATTAATTTTAATTCTAATATAATATGTCATTTTATATTTTTCCTTTTCAAAATTTTATTTTTTTTTATTTTTTTTTTTAGTAATGCTAATATTAATATTTTATCTATTTATTGTGTAATTCTTTGTGTTTCAATGAAAATTTTAATATCATTTCAAATTTAGTTTGCTCAGTTCATTTAACATACCATTAAATAAAAAAAAAACGAAATGAAATAGAAACAAGTGAAATTCCACTCATTATTTCGTTAAAACTTCTTAACTTTCTTTTCAGCTAATTATTCCATAATTATTTTGCTGAAATCAAATAATTCAAGAACATTTTTTTTTTCAAAATTTAATTTATAAAATTAAAAATATTGAGATAAGCTGAATTTATTCAGTTATTATTGAACACTTGCAGAGAATTATTCCTATTGTTGGCAACAAAATTTATTCTAATCAGAACAACTCAGATAATTAATTATGAATCCTTAATTAAAATACTAATTTAATTTGAAAAAAAAAATTATTTTTTTAAAACAGAAAAAATTGCATTAAAATGTAATGAAATAATATAAAACAAGAATAAATGAGAGATGAAAACAACTGCAACATAATTATCACATTTCTAAAATATCAATGATTACTGTCAAATGATACAATTTTTTGACATTGAACAAGTATTCCAATTCCAATATTAAATAAATGATATGTGGAGAGGAAAGAAGAAAAGAAAGAACAGTAATGATAACAATAATAATAATAAGTTAAAAGGAAAACAATTTTTAAATAGCCTAATTCATTTGTATATTCTATTAAATAAATTCAATAAAATTTTAAATAAAGTGAAATTCATTCCGATCAAAATATCATAAGCGCAGTTATAAATGCATAGTCAAAATAGTGATTTAATTTAAAATAATGAACCAGAATTAATATAAAATTGTTATTTTGTTTGCCATGTTTAGATAAAATTTGATAGAAATTCTTTTCTCGTTTGCATCATTTGTTAACAAATAATCGATGAACAAATTTTTCTTTCAGTTATTCATTTCTGATTATAACCACACCAAGTTGAATAGCCATTTAAACTTGGCGAAGCAATGCAATCATAATTAGCAGATGGCAAAAATTGTGGTCGAGCCGAAATAATTGTTACTATGATTAGCAATGATAGCATTAAAATATGAATAATTTGTTGATTCATTTTGTAATATCTGAAAAAATTAACAAATTATATTCAAAACATTTTCATTTTGAAAAAAAGACAATTTTGCAATATATTTACTGGTTTCTTTCAAAAAAAAATAAAAAAAAATTATAAATAAAAAATAGATTTTTTTTTTTAACAGAAAAAGCAATGAAAAAAGGAAAAAAAATTAATGGAAAACTTATATACTTTTTAAACATAATGTATCGTTAAGAAAAGCAAGCAAATTATCAAATAATAAAATTTAAATTTAAATATAGCAACTTTTGTGACTCGCTTATACTGGTCGCCCAATTTAAACTGAATTGTATATTTAAAAAATATTCACCACATTAATTTGATTTAACTCACTTTAGTGAAGTATCTGTTAACTGATTGCAAAATTTTGAAACAATTTCAATATAAAACTATTCATTTGCTCCACCTATCAGTTAGTATTATACCATACGATTTCTCTTTTATATGTTTAAATATGTAAAACAAATTAATGCTATTAAATGCTATTACACAATGTAGAAAGAAGGAAGGAAAAAAAATATTCATTAGATCATATTTAACCGTTAGGTATTACTTAATAACTTTATATGCCACACACGCGAATACATTTTATTTGCATTTATTACATTAATCATTGCATATCATAATACAAGCAATTTTATACGTTTCTAAAAATCACGTAACACGTGAACACATTTTTTTTTTGTTACATAAATCATTGTATCATCAATGTTTCTAAGATTAGCGGATAATTCTGTACAAAATGATGATGTTATCATTTAGTTTCAATGACAACAAGTTGATTTTTTTTTTTTTCAATCAGATTTTTTAATCAAATACTTAGTTAAATTTAAAAGCAAAAAAAAAAAAGGAGAATGGATGAAAGAAGAGTAAAATGAAGAAAGATATAACATTATAATTGAACTGAAATCAGTGCAGTAGATGAAATTTGAAAATATTTTAGTGCAAAGAACAATACGAAATACCAACCCATTTTTATGACGAAATTTCATTTCTTTTCTTTTTTCTTTTCACAATCATTTATATATATATTTTTATTTATTATCTTCAAATATTAAATATAAGAAATGAGAAGAAACACAACTTAACTAATCTATGTTTTTGTTTTTTTTTTTTTTTTTGTTTTTAATGTCGTAGAAAAAAAGGAAAAAAAAATTTTGAAATGGTCAAATATATAACTATTTTAATAAATTTATGAATGACAAAATGTTTTCTATAATAATTGCATTATTTTACTATGTGTTTTTGCTCTGACCTTTCACCTTTCACATTTATGTGTTTTAAATTTTTATAATTTAATCATTTATATTTCAATCTTTTACATTTTAATTCTTATACAGTTATCATACTTCTTTGTTTCCTTCCTTTTTGTGCACATTTATGTGTTTTTATTGTATCAATTGCTATCATCGCTTGTTAATTTAAAATTAACATTCAATATTAAAATTTCATTCTAAATTAAAACTGTTAACAATATGTGTAACTGTGTTTTTATCAAAATTTGTCAAATATATTCAAATATACCCAAAATTTGCTTAATTTCTAGCAGAAAAATTTATTTCCAAATATCTGTATTATTTAATACAATAATCGTATCGTTTTACTATATGTTTCTGCTTTAACCTTTTACCTTTTCATCATTTATTTTTAAACCTTCTTTTCGAAAATTTTTATTTGGTCCAAATTTAAATTTACTTAAGTTTGCGGAAAGCTTCAAGTTTCAAATGATTAATGGAGCAAAATATTAATTGCGATCCATAAGTTTAATGATATATTGTACTAAATGAAAAAAAAAAAACTTGTATATATTTCTTTTTTCTAGCTAAATCGATAACTCTCTCCTCTCTATAATTCATAACTCACAAACTGGAGAATGGTTACTTTTATTATCTTCACTCATTTTTAAAATTTTAATCATAATTCTTTCCTTCAGATGATACTTCCACTTTTGACAACATTTTATTTCTTCTAACATTTATCTCTAATAACATTACCCACTTTCCATCTTCGTTCCTTTTTGTCGTATTTTTTTTTTTATTTAAGAGAATTCCTCTTCTAGAAGAAAAACGAAAAGAAAAAAGATCAAAGTGGAAATGAGTTGGTGTTAAATTCTGCTAAGACAATGAATGAATGATGTTAGACAATATCGTGTTGTACTTCTTTTCCGGTAAACAAATTCTTATTTATGGTGTAAAAATTTTAAAACCTGATTTTCCAATTTGCTTTCTGAAATAGCTATTGAATGAAATGAAAGTCAACAAATTTTCGACAACCTACACCTACACTTCCCACTTCTATATTCAAATGTCGAATGTTTACAAATAAAAATAAGTCAAATGTACTTGAAACGAAAATAAAAAGGACAGAAACTTTTGACGAATTCATTATGCGCTCATTTTTGACTTCACTTTGTTCATACTGTAGATGTCAAATTAACAAAATACATTCTCTCATTTTGCTTTAAAAATACATACCTAACAAAAAGAGAATAAAAACAAGTTCCTAACACCATTGACCGTTTAAGTTGGAATTTCACATTGAACCATTTTAATTGCTTTCTTATTGCAATACGAAAGTTAATAGTCAATGTCCACTTCCATTTTGTTGCTATAGTAAACTCATATTTAATCTTATTAATTAATTACAGCAAGCCCACTTCCAAGCATATGTGAATGGAGCCTGCGTATTACCAAAATGAAATTTGTGATTAACTCACTTTCTTGTGTAGGGACAAATCGACTACCGTTTGAAGAGTAAGAATGCAATATGCCAGCTGCTACACCTCTAATTTTCTTTCTTATATTTAGAATATATTGGATGAGATATTCAGACAAAAATGCCAAGCAGTAAAACTTGTGTTGCTAATGTACTATAAGACAAAAGTCAAAAACAAATGTAGCATCATTTACTTGATACCATTTACTTGATTTTAAATTACTTGTACTAGTAATAAAAAGTTAAAAAATAAAAATTTTATACGTGAGCAATTTGTAAATAATTGTGAGATAAATCAATTATCATTTCACTTGTTGCTGCAACTGTTGTTGCATTTGCTGCAATTGTTTCTCATCTTGCTGTGATATTGATGTCAACCGCTTTCCAAGTTTTTCATGCACATCCAAATATTTAGCAACACAGCGATCCAAGCAAACTGCTTCACCCTTTGTTAATTCTCCCTCTCTAAAATCAAATCGAAATATGACCACTTGAAATTAACAATTCTCATTCACTGCTAATTATTATACATCTCATCACATCAAAATTGTCAACCCAATAAACGCTATAAAAATTCTGTCTCCAAACTTCATAAATCGTCAATGGGATTTTTAAAAAAAGCTATGAAGGTGGGAAAATAAGCAGCAGTCACGAATTGTTAGAACTATTGAATAATTTTACGCAGAGTTTTAAATGTGAAAAGTAAGACCGTAGGTAACATATAAATGGAGAGTATGCCTTACCTATAACGAGTTGAGATACACTTCTGCTGACATGCCGTCGTCATCCGCCGATACATATCAGACATCATTTCCATCTCCAAATCAGCTACCATTTGAAGTTGTGCTTGCGACATTATTCTCAAATCTCAGAACGAAATAATTCTAATACTGAAAAATGAATGAGAATGACATTCCGGAAACTCATTGGAATCAAAAAAATTTCTTAAAAATCCCGTACTTCAAAATTTTCTGCGCTATAACACTTCTAGGGTGAAGTACAAATTGAAATTCACAAAAGAATATATTGGTATTTGAAATTAAATACAAATTCTCATTTTGATCTAATTACTCTTGAATTATATATCTTTTCTGAATCAAACCGTACAAAAGATATTAACACAAATTGTATCAAGAATTGTAGAACATTTGAACAAAGTACCCGTACAACACCAAATAATAAGTAAAGTGCATCAAGAATGAGAAACTAGACGCTAAATACAAGTGAGAATGGCAAAATCTCATTATTTCGAATTTGAAACAAAAATTTACTGTGAAAGTCGAAGTTTCAGAAGAATAGAGAGAAAGAAACTACAGTGAACAATCGAAACAAGTATACAGCGAAACATAAGTATCGTTCGAGAATCGTACTGGTATCGCTTTTGGCCCATAGAAATTCATGCGGTAAGCGGAACCATCTGCTGGTCCTAGCAACTGCAACGCAATTAATACGATATCCACAAGATATAATAGTGTGAAGCAACCAAATGAAAACATCTTGAGAAATCCTGAAAGGAACAAAATTAAACAATCTCGACACACACACACACACACACACACACACACACACACACACACACACACACACACACACACACACACACACACACACACACACACACACACACACATATGACGTAAACATACATCATCATATCTATAACAGTTTACATGAAATTTAATTTAAGATTGAAGGGTCGAGAATAGCTTACCCTTTTTTCTTTATTTTGCTCTTTCTTCAGTTAAAATTCTTTTTTTTGAAAAACATAACTTCACAAATACACGTTTGCTTATGACTTAAATAACTAAAACTTTTCCTTCACAGCGACTTAGCCAAATAAAGCTATTACACTGAATCACACAGTTCCTCTTTTAATTCATATCCGCTTTTACGGTACCTCATATCCTCAGAAATTCAAGAACAAAATTCCAAACCTATAGCATAATATCCAAGATAAATTCGATCAATGCCTAACCAGCCGAGAAATACTGATAACAATAGTGCAATACTATAATCAACACCAGCTGAATAGGCACAGCCATTTGGTACACGTTTCAGAAACCTAAAATATGAGCTGAAGAAGCAAGTATATTATTTTGCAGAATTTTATAACGCATCATGAATATCAGTTCGAATGTACCTTAAAAATGTATGAAAAAAGATCTGAAAAACATACTTCCTCGTGCCGTTGTCCAATCCTATACAATTAATTTCATTTGCCACTTCACAAACAACTGAAAAATCAACGAATATGTGAATTCAAAATAAACTGCTTGTTGAAAATCAGTACGATGAATTCCAAAACTCATAATTTAAGACTTCTTTATACCATCTTTATTGGAAAATTATCACAAACTTGATGTAAATTAGGTGCGTCACTTACTCGGTTTGCAAAACTAGCCCCACAAATAACACATACTACGTTGTATGCATGTATATGCACAAATGTTCATATTCATGCGATAACTTACCTCAAACTATGTTGTCAATTTTACATGAATAGTAGATATTTAAAAGTTGCATCACCTGTAATAGAATTATCCTTCTCACAGGTTTCAGGAAGCTGCGTGATCGGTGAAATTACAGGCTCTTCACACCAATACCTGTATTGCAGATAGTTTAGAAGTATCGTGATATAACTAAGCAATTCGGGTTAAAATGTAAGTAAGTAAATAAGGGAATATATGAATGCCGAGAAAAGACAAAGAATATCAGAAAGATGGATAGTTCTACTCAAATTTTGGGATGTAACATCGTTTACTGAAACATAAATTGCAGACTTACTGTCCCATGAGCAATTCGGAACAGGACTTCAACGTCATTTTAGTTGTACCGAATGTTAACAATGGAAATAGTGATAAAATTACGACAGTAAAATCACTGGCAAACATTTGGCGCTATATAGCAATTATCAATCCAACTACAGCGATGCAGTCATCGACTAGAAATCTGAAATGAATGATATATTTGAAAAACATATTACCAAATTGTTAAGAACATAGCATCTCTAAGTAACAGCATATCAATATCCAAATTGATTGAAAGAAAGGAAATCAATCGTTAAGGAACGATTCAATCAATGAACAGTGAGAATGCAATATATACGCTAACAAATTACGCTTGATTTTTGGTAACTATTTTTCATGATAATCTGTCCATAATTATTATCAGTGATAACAAATGATACATAACTGATACAATACAATTATCAGTACTATCACATGATATTTGCGCTTTTGGAATTTTTGCAACTATCCGTCAATTCATTGCTTCCACTTAATGCTAGAAAGAAGAAATACATTGAGAAATACAATGCACACTAGAGATTGAGAGAATTCACATAGAACAACGCCTCCTAATGTTGACAATGATTAGCAGAAAGAGGGAGACATTTGAAATAGGTGAAATAGTGAATGTCTTAGAGAGATAACAAACGGTAGAGATTAGTGGGAAGTGAAAGATAGCACAGCACAAGACGAATAGAAAGTCGAAACATATAGTAATCATGGGGGAGCTAAAGCAACAAATGTCCCAGCATTGTAAAACTTTGACCAAAAGAACAATCTGAAAATTTATATCCCATATCGTGCTTCCGATTAATATTAAAATTTCAGTCAGTAAAACTATCTCTTTCCACCGTTTTTTATCATTTATTTTAGTTTAAGCACAATATTTTCTCCACATTCATTCACAAATGCAATTCCTATTTCAGTTATTGTATTTCGATTTTTGTTACAACACTTTTCATAAAATTATCATACATTTCTTTCTCTTTTCTCCTTTCTCGTATAGTTTAAAAATTCAAATTTCATAATGTCTGAAATGAGAGTTGATTATACTGTAAATAGTGATGAAGTGTAGAATGCATTACGAAGAGATTTAATCGATTAATTTCCATCACTTATTTTTTTCAACTTATCACTTTTAACAAATGAAGTTATCAGTTTTCAGCAATCACTGATTTTTACTGTTTTCCCTTATTGATTGGTGTAATTATTTCCGTTGGAAGCAAATTTGTCCCTGTAAAGAAAACACACACATCTTTTATTTTTTTTTTTTTTTTTCCTTTGCCCCCCAAAAAATGGCAATTTAAAACAAACTAAAAGAAAGAAAATAAAAAAAGTTGTGATGAAAAAACAAAAAAACAATTTTTGATTCTAAGAAAGACATTTAACACCTGGATTAGGACTTTTAGCAGCACTCGATCGACTTTGTTTTTCAAGTTCAGCAAGCTGTTCGGCGCTTAATTTTTGTAAATCTAATTTTGGTTTCAATGTTACAAATGAAATTTTCAGATCATCGGTAACACGCATAATTGATCCACAATTACCATCGGTACCACAATAATTTGGTGCAGAAAAAACGGTACAAATTTTACCATCACAATCGATATGATGACCATTTCTTACTACTTCATGTGCTCGTACAATCATATCAACATTTAGCGCCTTATGTATAATAATCATAATTATTTAATCTTACTAATAATTAATAATTATATTTATAGTAACTATAATAATTTATTTATTTTTTGTTATCGCATTGATTAAGCAAAAAAATTCTTTTGTTTAATTAAATATTAACAATTTGTTTGTTTAATGTTTTATTACAAATAAAATCATGTCTTAATATTAAAAGGAAAAAAATGTAGTACTTATTTATTCATTTACTTATTTTTTTGAAATGTATTTCAAAATTTAGATAAAAAATAAATAAAGAAGATATACCGCGATGCATTCTTTAATCATATCTTGTCCAAACATCCATGAAGCATTACGAATTTTATTGGGTGTAAAACCTTTAGCGCATGGATCATTATCCGGATCAGACCACATTAAATCAAGTGCTAAGCCGGAATCACAATCTGCTTGATTTCTTGGCTTCTATAATTTTTTTTCCAAATTTCAAAATTATATTTGTTAATTAACAAAAAGAAGAAGGAAAGATGAAATAAATACCTTCAAATTCTTCAATGAATGCCATCCATGTATTAAAGGACTTATACCGCCATGCATACAAATTAATCGATTGTTAACCTGAATTATCATTTCATGACATAACGCTAAACCATTATTCCAGAGGACTTTATGTCATTATTTTACGAATTCGCGATAGCCTACTGAGATTAATCGTTTTGCTAACAAAGAGATCACTAACAGCTTTAGGATTAAGAGTTTTAGGAAAGTGAAGTAAAGTATGCAAATATTAGTATTCCCAATATGTAAACCTATGATTAGGGTTAAAGTAACCGAAATAACTATAAAATATATTACACAGACATTTGCACATAGTGGTAATTCATTGAATGCTTTCTGGAATATTTTCCAAAGCGATGTTGTTCGTACCCGTTTACACTCTTGATAAAATCCATAAGTTCGATTCATTTTTGTACATTCATGATTACCACGCAAAAGGTTTACTCTGTCTGGATATTTCACTTTAAAACAAAATAACAACATTACAACCTGAAATCTTTTATTTTTTGCTTGCTTCAAAAGTTGATAAATTTAACAAACTTTTGAAAAAACAAAAATTCAACAAGAAAGAAATAAAGAAAATAAGAACAAACTTCAAGTCCCTTTTTACATCGATCAATATAATCACCCAAAAAGAGAAAATTTTGTTCCGGTGGTGTACCAACAATTTTAAAATAACGCATTAAATCACCAAATTGTCCATGAATATCACCGAAAATAATAACCGGTGCAGAAATTTGAATCAAACAACCAATTGGTTGCAATATTTTACAAACCTAAGGATGGAAAATTTTTTATTTATGCTTAACTTATTTATTTTTATATTTGTTTTTTCCAAGTAAAATAACTTAGTTATTTATTCATTTTGTTTAAAAACTTT